AACTGTAGTCCTCAAGTCGTCATTACAATGGAGAGAATGGATTACTCGAACAACAGAAATGACTCATTAGATGAGGAGAACAACAAGCAAGGGCTCGCAAAAGTTAGCTAGCACGGTAGCTCCTGGCTATCTAGATGCCTTAGCTACCTCAGTTCTTTCTTCTGACTGAAAGGGTAAAAATCTTGTCTCTGGCATCCATTTTGTGCTGAATAATGATACATTTGCTGTTGCAGTTTTGTTGGATGACTATAGCAGCTGCACTAATGCTAGCTAAGGTTGATTAGCCTATAGCTCAGTGGCTAGGCTAGCAGTCAGGACTGATCGACACTGTGGGGATTCCCAGTTGTGCAGGATGTATTTGCGTAATGCATGCTGGGTACTGTAGTGAGAGAACATTGTTGAGCGAAAACATGAAAACAATGTAAAACTGTGAATTCTGTCAAACCAATGAGGGCTATAAATGCTGTGCTACAGAATACTGCATAAAATGCCAAATAGCATATTAAACTCCAGTTTTAGGTCAGAATTGTGAAGATGACAATTAACCTTACTTCGGTATCAGTTCGTCCAGCCCCACAATTTATTCACTTCTGAGAACAAGATAAAAATGTTAAGCAAGTTCAATGATAAACATATGTTGATATACATAGTCTATCAACTTATTTTGATAAACATTTTTTAGGATATCTTCAAATACATACCGTCTCATACCACACATAGTATCCCTACAAAGGGACAAGGTGACCCACTGGTTGCAAAGCTAATATGTTATCTAGTCAAGGTATTTAGTGCCATAGTGGAGGAAAATAGTCATTAAAATACTTGCAAGTGCTTTTTAAGTTACTGGCAGATTTTTTTTTTTTCTGCATGTAAACATAGATGCAACTGTAAAAACTGAAACAGAGCTCAATCAATAAACATAATCAGAATAATACACCATGTGTAGTTAATTAGCATGCATTTTCATAATTAGAATTCATACCATGACACCAAACAAAAGTAATAACCAGACTGAGTAAATTTTGTGACAAATATTTGCTCTATATTAATGTGCTACTTTGACAAAAGAGTCTGAATAAGTGAAGATTAAATGGACTTTTGAAAACTTCTCTGTCCTGTTCAGTCCAGCAGGGGGCAGACTCTGATCTAGCGGGTCACTGAGCGCCAGCAGGTTGGCAGGACTGCATGTGTGAAGACAGATCTATTCTAGTCCGACTGAAATTTATATCAAGAAGGTGATGCAGTCATGATAGTCACAGGAATGGAGAAAATCGACAATCAGGTTATTTTTGTTACAAAATGTTTTTAGCTGGTTCAAAAATATAACTTGGAGTTTTTACAAAATGCAGCAAGGGGGGTCACGTTATGGAACTGTCTGTTGGTTATGGGACTTTTTGAATGTTTATTTTAGCACTCCGTTATTGGTTTCTAAACTGGTTTTATACAGCATAACTTCTGGCTTCTTATTCCAATAATAAATCCCTCAGCTCCCCAGAGAACATGCTTCTAATGCAAAATTGAAAAGTGAAGGCAGTATAGCTTCTTCTGTGGAAGCACTCTCTCTTGTAGAATGTTCTACCCTATATCAAACCAGCTCAGTCTGTCACTCTGTTACAGACACATGTTATAAGATAACTGACTTACAGATGTTTGTAATTATTGTTTTTCCATCTGTCTTTTTATGTACAGGCTTCTTTCAAATTGCACTTACACGTATTCTGGATGCATGTGGCACTGAATATGGGTTCAGGCTTCAGGTTTTATAATTAAACTAGGCTACATAGCAGTTTGAATTTATTGTATGATAAACACAATGCATTTGCATGATGTTCTTACATGTTGGCTGCATAAGATAACAAACTCCATTCACGTTCACAATGGATGTACTATTTTGGCTCCTGTGGAGAAGAAATGGCATACATCTGCCAGTGAAATACAGTCTTCACCCAGGCACCTGGAGCTTATGAACTAAATAAAGACAGAGGGTGCCTGTGTTTTAATTAGCCTCCCCGATCAATATCTGCTAAGCTCACTATCCTCTAACCCCCAGGCTTTATTACGCTGGCAAAAGCTCAGCTGTTGTTCATTGGAAAAAAGGTGCTGTTGTTTGTGTTGTGTGGAAAGGTTGTTACTGTGGCAGGGCACGTGGTGCCATTAGACTGCTGAGTGAGTGACAGGTGCTAATGTAGGTGTTACTTTCTTCTGCTCTGTGGTCTGTGATAAAGGAACTGGGCTGCTTTGCAAAGGTGTGTTAAGGTTTTCTTGTCTATTGAGGCAGTTTTAGTTCCTATTCTGATAGTCTGGAGCTGATTTTGTTACAGGTGACTAAAAAGATTGTTAAGTCACTAAATTTAAAATGTAGGCTTTGTAAAGTATATTTATTGAGTCTGAAGTATACTGATGTCATCAGGGGCCTGCTAGTTTAATTCAGAGTGTGCAAGATTCCTATGAGAGGGAAAAAAGTTATATTGCCTTCACTTTTAAATTTTGCATTAGTTCTCTGGGGACCCGCAAGACTTTGCACTGTAATAGGGGTCTATAAGCTGCAGCATGTAATACCAGTTGCTGTTACAGGTATTCATGATTTGTATGCATATTCATGATTTGCACAATTCCAACAATTAGGCCAGGAGATTTGCATATGTCTGCACGGGCAATTGTATGGATCCTGAACCGTGTAGGAGGACGTGGACGCAGCATATTCTCTTTCACTGCTGCTGTTAGTGTGTGACTGCAGTGCCGCATCTGCTGTGCACCTCGAGAGTGAGTGAGGCTCTGATAGCCTGGTGGTTAGAGGGTAGAGAGCAGCCTGATATACCAGACTCACAGCCTGTAGCTCCACTTCAACAGATTTCAGCCCCTACTGATACTAAAGTGCATCTTGAGATGTTACATAAGATGCTACAGTGCATGGTAACTGCAGATTTATAAGATACTACATAAGATGCTACAGTGTATCTTATACAAATACAAATATATAAGATGCTATAAAATATGCTATAGCACATCTTACATACAGATATTTATGTACTGTTAAACATGCTAAAGTGGACAGGACCCCCACAGGACCACCACAGAGCAGGTATTATTTGGGTGGTGGATCATTCTCAGCACTGCAGTGACACTAACGTGATGGTGGCATGTTAGTGTGTGTTTATGTAAAGAAGAGGATGAATTGCAGTGGTTTGATGTTGAAAAGCTAGATAATGACATATTCTAGAAAATAAATGATACTTATGGTTCAGAGTTGTGCGCTGCTTATTCACGGCTTGTTAAGCTGTCAGTGGTGATTATGTTTCTGGAGGGTCGGCTTCTTGTGTGTCAATACCATTCCTCTCTAAGCAGCCTTGCAGACATGGAGGTGAAGGAATCAATGCATCAGAGTCTATCCGTCCTGCAGTCTCCATATCATTCAAACCTGGCTGATCAATCAGTCCCACGGATCATGTCTATATTGTTTTGAAGAGGAGCAGCATGATGGTAATTGTTCTATGTTTTATTTCTAGAATAATCACACAATAGATACAACCCTCTGTCTTTCATCCAACTGACTGCCACTCTCCTAAAGCAACTACAGTGCATCAAGAAAACTGGCATCAATGCCAAAGATCACCTGTAGCCAAAATGTTCACTTCAGGTGTTATCAGTTCAAGATATTTTTAGAAAAAACATATTTCTTCCAAAAAGGATGAAAGAATGAATCATGGTCAAATTGTTCATCTCAGTAGCACCGAAGTGTGTCAGCATGCACGTATACATGTGGAAGTGCGCGTATGGATTTGGAGCGTGAGTCATTATTTAGACTGAGATGAGCCCAAACATAAAACCAGCACACACATAATCAAAGAGGCAGGCTTCTTGTCACTGTTGCTAGGCAACCACAGGAGCCATAGACCCAAAATCTCTGCGCAGACGAGCGAATGCCGACTCGGAGGGGGGAGACAGAAAGAAAATCATTGGAAATTAGACCACACCATTAGACTACGTGAGATTAGAATCATTAATTCAATGTACCCTGAAATACAATAATACTAATGATAATGATAACACAGTGATATCTAATGCATTATGAACACAACTCATCATTTTTTATGTGCCTCAAAAATATCTGACACTAAAATCTAATCAAGGTTTTCAAACATCATTAGACGTCTGTAGCAACAGCTTCCCCCCAGCATTGGGGAAAACCCAGCAGGTGGTCTACACTGAAAGAAACATTATTTGCCATCTCTTATGAAGACATTTATGGGAAGCTATTAAAACAGTGCAGTAACATTTGAGATATAATCATCACACATTACAACATTATGTTTGCCACTCCTATAAAACAATTACAATACAGCAGCATTAAACAAAAAAATAGCTAAATTAAACTGAATACATCACCATGTGTGACCATATTTGAATGTATGTTCTTTTGATGATGATGGACAAAACATATAATTTTATCAAGGTTGTTCTACAAGTTGAATTGCTTTATCAATATTGTACTAGTGGGTGCAAATTGACAATAGACATATATGGTTTCTTGTCCAAACAAGCTGTTGAGCTACAGACTGTATGAAAATTTGTGAAACTGTGCACTCATTATTTGATGAGAAGTATAAGAAGGGAGCGGCATAGTCGTGATGGCTGCAGGCGTTGAGATAAAGAAATAAAGAAGCACTGTGCTACTGCTGCTGCTGCTGTCACTGTCCCTCTGCAATCCCCCTCTCGAAACAATGAGTAACTGCAGCGGGGAATCTCCACTAGAGCCATCTACACATGGTGCATGCCGGGGGGAGCCCCTTCCACTGTTCACTTTTCGTTTTCCAGCAATTCAGTAAACTTCTACAGATCCGTGTCAACATTTATTTAGCTCAGAAAATGACATTCTGTTCTCAGATGAGTAAGTTACATCGTCGAAATGGTGAATCGTCGCTCACCGTGTTGAGCCAATCCCCCCCTCTTCGGAGCTCAAAATGGTACGCTCCAACTTGTGAGGCGGCACTGGTTTCCCACTGTTCCGTTTCAAGCTCTTTATCGGTTCTTGCATGTGCGCGACCGTTTTTTCGGCCGTAAACAGACAGGCAAACCGGCAAGTCGAAGCGCACTAATGTTGTTCGTTCACAAACAATGAATAGCTGTCAGAAATAAGCGCTTGAGAGACCGTCGGCTGACGACGACCCGCGCTGAAATTCCTAGACAGGAGAGACAGAGAGAGGAGGAGAAAGCTGCAGTTGACAGGTGCCGTTACTCGGCTTAGTTCAAACTGACCCAAGATGCCGCCTGTTCAGAGAACTATGTCAGACCTACGTTCCCGCGCCGAAGGTAAGAAAACCTACCAACTTCGTTGTAAATTTCCCCTCAAACCCGGGTATATTGACAGGTCTTAGTAGCAGCCGTTTGTGACATTTTTCTTTGTGGACGACAAACTGTTGAGAGAAGTGAGCTAGCGGGGCAGCGTGCTGGCTGCTTGCTATCCAAGTTGTTGATGTTGTTGATAAGCTTAGCTGTTCTGTACTGTAAGGGTCCTGTGTGTGGCAGCTTAGGAGCGACAACAGCTGCTTAACTGGCAGGGCGCTGATCCCAGAGCAGATAGCAGAACATATTATAGTGCCACATTAGCATAGATGTGCTTTTACTGTAAGGCTAAGCTGAAAGAAAAAGTAACAGTCATATTTTAACATTATTCTGACTCCTAACTTAGCCCATTTGTTCTTATTCGCTCAGTGTGGTGCCACTACAGGCTGGCTCTCGCTTTGTACTACTGCTGATTCTGTAGATGACTTCAGGGTGTGTTTTACTGTAAGTAAGGCTGCAGAGAAGGATACAGTATGTAATGTGAGTGTGTGGTTTCTCTAAAGTTGTGGATAAACTACCACCAAAAGCCTCAGGGAAATATCACTGGCCACTGCGTGCCCCTCACTAGGCCTGTGTACAGGTCGTCACAAAAGAAAGAGTCTGTTCTCCTTTGGAATATTAAAAGTAGATAGAAAAGAGGCCCTCTTTGTTATCACTCAGTGGGGCCTTGTGTTTCTTGCTTCTGAAATAATTTGGGCAAATTGAATAACTTGTAAGTATCCATATTTGTACCAGAGGTGAAGAAGATAATGTATTCAGCATCATCCTGCCTCATGCAGAGAGCTCCACAGGTTGCTTGCGATCATTTGCATCTGTTCCATTTATGGATGGCGAGAACTTATCCTTTTCATTTCCTTTCATCTGTTTAAATGCATAGCGAAGACATGTGCTTGATGAGCTCACTAATGGATGTAGAAAGGAGATGTGGGGCTGAAAGTTAAATGGCAGCCTTGGGCAAGCTGCAGATGGTTGGATTTGTATTGATCTGGTCAGATAACTGCCACTGTTTGTCTGCACTTCACTTGAAATGGCATGGCCATAATGACCGCACTGCCCACTCTCTGAAGGGCCTAACACAAAAACGAATAGTAAGATTCTTCTGTAAAGTTTATTGCTGAGGATGACATTCTTTGTACTTTGTCCCACAGACATAAGCAGTGTATAGTTTATTGTTTGACTGAGAACTGTAATTCAGCACTTTAGCTTTGTGGAAATGCATTATAGTTTAAAGATTGTAAACCGAAATGATGTATTATTGTTTCATTTAGCATGTGAAGCTCAATTTGTCACCTAATGCATTTGCTCTCTGGATTTGTGCTGGAAACTGAATGAGACTCCATTCGTGGACCTCTAAATAATTCAACAAAGCATCGTTTCAGGAGAATGTTGACTGCTGCTGTTCTTGTGCGATTAAAACCATCAATAATGCAGCAACTTTCACCATTATCCCAATTTTTCAGCTTTCCCACTTCAAAGAGTAAGCTCTCCGTTTTCCTCTTGGCTCTGGCTCTGGAGCTGGCCCTATCCTTCGCTCCCTCCCTTACCTTTTTGGAAAAGTATCCAATTTGTCTGTGCAAGCATTTCTAAGCATGTTGCAATCGATAAAGCCCTAAGTGTCTGATCAAGCCTGTGACCTACTCTGTCCTGAGAGAGAGATGTTTTTAACTGTATTATTTAGTGCTGCTTGAGCTGTTTGTGGAGTTTCCCTATGCATCGGCCTGCTGTGTGAGGTTTAATCACTGCAGTGCATCAGGCTGGCTCTGCTTGGAAGAGGGCAGGACCCTGGCAAGCGTTCCATCTAATCCAGACCAGCTCAGCCAGTCAGACCCAAAACACACACACCGCTTTCCTCTTCCGTTTCCTCCGTCACCCCATAGACTACCATGTGCAGGGACCTGGGTCAAACACTGGGCTCACTGCTGCGGTTATTTACTCCAAAGTCAGCATTATTTTTCACCTCCTTAATGAGATGTTTTTGTAATTCTTAATAGGGGTGGACAACGTGATGGTATGCTATTGTTATCAATATGATAAATTGTCACGATGTGCTTTTCTTATTATGTTGTGGGTATCGCCAGTACTTCTAGAACAACTGCGTATGTCATAAGAAAGTACAGTTTGCTTAATAAATTAGTTTTTTTTGCAAACATTGAATTAACAAGAACCATTATACTCAGTTTTTCATAGCGTTTTTAAAAAGTGGCAGTACTGTTTTGTTCTTGCATTTTATTTTGACTTGTTCACAAACCTCAAAAGTACTAAATATAGTGTGAAATATTGTTTCATAAAGACATTTCCAAATATTGTGATGTTTTTGTTCTTGTCATACCTTTAGTATCAGTGTTCCTAGCTATTCTCCCATTTCTCAATCCTATGGCATCATGCATTTTTAACAGTCATGTGGTAATACTGAAGTAATACTGAAAGGTAACATGAAGTAATACAGGAAAGGAAGTGGGTCTTCATGCTAGTTCACATTCCTGTATGAGTTAATACAATAAGTGGATTACTGGCCCAAGTTGTGCTGCAAGAGAAATTAAATGAATGTCTACCGCTGCACGTGCCTCTCTGCTCTGGAACCATGAGTACAGAATTTTGGTAGGGCGAACTGGGAGACTTGCCAAAGCAGCATTATCGGTTTGACTGGGTGTGGGTGCGTATGTGTGTGAGGGAGCGAGTGAGAGGAGGTGGTGTGGGCGCAGGTGGAGGAGATCAGAGATTGGGATCCGATGAGTTGCCCACACCGAAGGCGATGATGACAGAAAGGCCGGGCTGGCAGAGACCGCAGGGAGATTGGGTTTTTATGAGCCGCCCAAGCGCTTTCACAAAATAGCATCACGAGCTGGCGTTTTATGGTCCAGCTCGGCCTGGATCTGAACTGCAGTCGTGACTGTCTGCTTTTTTCCCCCCTTCCTCACTTCTCTGCTAAAAAGCAGCAGGCAATATAATATCCATGAATGTTTGAGACTGAACTGTTTCTTTGTTTCTGCTTTGGAGTTGTTGAGCCATGGAAGACATGGAAGTGTAAGTGTCTTCCCAGCTCTGGTGACAAACAGAAAACATACAGTAGTGAAAGAAGGCTTGACAGGTGCAAAAACTAATTGCAAGCTATGGTCACTGTGGCTGTTCTTTCTGACACGTTGATCCAGCGTGAAGCCGGTGAGAGCGGTGAGAGCTCAGCTCACTGCTGTTTGCCCTTGTCCTCTGGTGTACAGTAGCTGCGCCTTAGCAAATACCTGTATCAGACCACGGCCCATATGGCTAACATGTATGAATTAACCTATCCATGCTCCACCCACAAACTCTTTCAGAGTGGTAGTTATTTTACTTTAAAGAATGTTGGCAAAAAATGTTTTCAAACTAAGGAGTAATTGTAGTGTGCAGTTCAAATTTGTCACAATTCTGAAGTGTAAAAGATCGATTTTAGGATAAAACGATGTCAGATTCAAATTTCAGCATCCGACAGATGTTTAGATTCAAACAGTATTTCAAACTGATATTTGGTGATGTATTTATTGTACTCTGGAAGAGCACAGCGTTTAGGCAGCATGGAACCATTGTGGTATGTCCACATTTTATTTATTTTTACTGTATTTGTAACCCTCAACAAATAAATGTTACATTATTCTGTAACGCTAGTCCAGGTAGATCTAGTCCACATTTCTGTTTTATAAATGTTTATTAGAATATTAGAATCTGCATCAGCAGATATGTACAGGTATAAAAAAATATCACATGTCTTCATTGGCCCAGAATCACCATACTGGTGCATTCCCATTAGCTACAACAGCTTGGTTCCACTTAGTAACATATACTTTTAAACTGGAAACTCAGTGTTTTGTAGTGAATCTAAACTCCAGACTATGTTCATTAGCTTGATTGGGGCTTTTTTGTTCTGTAAAGCTTGTCCAACCTCACGAAGCATGTATATGTTGGCTAACATTATGTACTTCAATTCATAGTCATGTCAAAGGCAGAAACAGAAGCTAAAGCAGCACGTTAATGCTGGGGTTTGTTGCAGTATTTTGAGTTTTCCAAATGCAATGTTGTACGAACAACATTGTCATCACATGCAGTTTCGTGCATCCATCTACTTTGTTAAACTCTGATCATTACAGCACATGAGACAGTACAGCTTTTGATGATGTTGGTCCAAAGATGCATTTTTTTTTCTTTTTCATTGTGAAGTTAAATATTAAGTTGTAAGTCAGATGGATCACTGTTCTACTGATTCAAGCTACCACTGAGATGCAGCACAAGCTAAAATACCAAACATTTCTTTCATTATCACATTACGGATTAAATGAATCTCTTTTCAATGGAGCCCTTATTTAGAGATGGTCACTGTAGGTGGGAAGGAATGCTCAATCCTCTTCAGCCCCTACTTTAATGTGGAAATAGGCTGTGCTGTCCTGTGTGAGTGTGTGAGAGAGTGTGGGTGTGTGAGAGAGTGTGGGTGTGTGAGAGAGTGTGTGTGTGTGTGTGTGTGTGTGAGAGTGTGTGTGTGTGTGAGAGTGTGTGTGTGTGAGAGTGTGTGTGAGAGAGTGTGTGTGAGAGAGTGTGTGTGAGAGAGTGTGTGTGAGAGAGTGTGTGTGAGTGTGAGAGTGTGTGTGTGTGAGAGTGTGTGTGAGACAGACTGTGAGAGAGTGTGTGTAGCACAACAGGTTGGTCCCTGCTGGCAGATGTGGCTGTTAGCGCTGTGTCTAGCTGATGCGATTGCAGCACAAAAGCTGAGTGGCGTTAAATCCCCAGCCTAGAATACCGCCTGCTCTCTCAGCCTCCCCACCACTGATAGACCAGCGTTATATCCTGATCTCTCTTTCTCACAAAGGCACACACACATGGCATATGTAACTAGTAATAGTACTGACACAATGAAATTATACAACAATAATTACAATACACATTATATTAAATGTACAATATATAATAAACAGTATTCAGAGTGGGGTTATACAGTAACATTA